AGCCAGAAACTAATGGCAGAGATGTAGAGTCAAGCACAAACAGCTCTCTGGGGAAATCTGCTGCTTATTGCAGGAGAATCCCATTTGCGGTATTCATTTATTCATTCTGCTTCTGAACAGCCCCAATAAACTCCATTCCACATTCATTCCACTGTTAAAATGGAAAGCATACAGAAGGCATCCATTTAGAGCAGTGTTTCTCAACCTTGGCGACTTTAAGTCCTGTGGACTTCAACTCCCAGAATCCCCCAGCCAGCAGCAGCTGGCTGGGGAATTCTGGGAGTTGAAGTCCACAGGACTTAAAGTCGCCAAGGTTGAGAAACACTGATTTAGAGCTACAGAAGGAGCAGGAAATGAAGCAAGCATTGAGAAGGCCTCATCCAGTTCCATAGCTGCTGTCTCATACAAAACAATCCTTTAGCAGTCGCCAAACCTTCACATTGAGGAAGTAGAAAATGTGCCCTTCCTGCTAGTGCCTTGGGGTATTTTTTGAACCTAATCTCCTGAGTCAGAGAGTAAGTATCAATGCCATGCTAGAAAAGCACCCGGAGAATAGCTCCATGATCCCTCATGCTTATGACTGGGTGTGTTTCAATCTCCTGTTTCCTCTTCTGCCCACATTTATTCTCCACACTGTTAGCTATCATTGCTTTAAGACAGAAACAGATCTCTATTTTCCCTGGAAAAGCTGTACCTACCAACAGAATGATCTTATGGGATGGAGGGCAGGGAGTTGAGAGATTGATAACTATATCATCTAAGTAGCTGTTGTGATTTATCAGAACTCTTCAGAAACAGTGTTTGAGGGATTGGTTGAAGCTTAGATAGTTTGCTTTCCTTAATTCTTTTCTCTTCTTTTTGTTAGACGTGATGTAACCAAGTAGGAATGTTTTCAAGAGCTTGGAGGGAGTGGACTTCTCTTTTTGTGTTCCTCTCTAATCCTTGCTTCTAAGTCTTATCTAAACCAATCCATATTGTAACCTGTAATCACAATTTTCCATGTCTTTTCCTAACCCTTCCTTTTCTACGCCAATCCATTCGCGGAGAGCCTTGGTCCTTCTTATCAAATGACGATCCTTAAGATATTGCCCGTTTTCATTTTCCAGACCATGCAGTATGGCCAACAGACCAATTCCATATTTACATCAGTGGAAATGCCACTGTGATTTGACATAGTGAATTTTTATCAGGACTTTTTTATTATTATTATTATTACAGAAAATGTTCCAAATGGTCATATTGGATTGTTTAGCTTATTTCCCGAGGGCAGTAAGCAAGCCGTGTGGCAAGAATTAAAAGATATGAGGTTGCTTTCAGCGCTGTTTGGAGCCCTGCCAGACCACAGTCAAGGAGAAGCTGGTAGCTTGTTTCAATCTGTGGTGTTGAAGTGTTTCCTTGCAATTAAACATGTGAAAATTAAATAGAAGCAGTCATTAGACTGGTTGATACAAATCCATTAGACTGTAGACAATAAATTATATGAAATGGTTAATGCTTTCATTATGTCTCAAACTGGGGGAAAAAAAGTTATCATCAGCAATTTAAAATAATAGGATTTAATCCCATTAAATCCAATCATTTCAGACAGATATTCTCAAGGACAGGCCAATTGGTATAATTGCTATGAGATGATGCTGAACAACACTCTGGTGGTAATAGGTGAACCTTTCTCTCAGCCTCAGTTGTGCATAGTTGTCAGCACTTACAAAGTGCGAAGGCAAGACAAGGCTGCAACAAAATCTAAGAATGTGTCCCAACTTGCTTTTGGCCATGACAGAATCATTCCTTGACATCAGCAATTTTTTTTTTCTTTGTGCCCGTGTCTTTGTCTTCGTCCTATTTCCAGCCATGTGTCCATGAATGAGGCATGTTTTGGAAGTTGTTAACTGTACTAGAATCAAACCAGACTCTCCTTTCTAAGCCAGTCCACCCGGTCCATAGCAATTTCAAGCTGAGCTAAACCAGTGCTTGGAAGTGACCTGGAACAGAGACAATGGTTGCAATGAGGGATCTTTGGTACACTCTGAACTTGCTGTCTTGCAGACTTTCATTACTCAGACTAGGTAATGTGGTGAGTGGGGTTTACTCTCAACAGAGGTTGCCCTGTTGGTGTTGGTGAGTGGTTTTGGTGGTTCTTAGGTTGGGCTGTTTACGGTTAGCTTGTTTGGCATTTCCTTTATTGGGGTATGTTTGCTTCTGGATTGTTGGCTTGCGTGGCACGACAAAACCGCGCTCGTCAAAATCGCGGTGATAAAATCGCGGCGCTAAAGCCGCGATGTCATCACTGCGCGTCATCACCGCCGCGGCAACAGAAGGGCACTTTAAAACGGTGCCGTGGCAGAAAGCCGANATCGATTAGGTACCCTAAGAATTCAACCCTGGGCACATTAATTTGGCATTTTTCTTTTTTGAGATGGAGGCCTTTGTCTCAAATTCTAGCCAAAATTGTTTGCAAATGTTTGAAAAGTTGCACCTCATTTGCAGCCGATATCAAAATGTCGTCGAAATAGGAATCCCCTGCAAAAGCCATTCCATGACGCTTTGGAACAGTTCTGGGGCGATATTAACACTAAATTGCAGGCAGTGACATTTGAATGCACCCCTGTGCATCACAATGGTTTGGGCCTCTGCCGTAGTGCCCTCTACAGGCAATTTTTGGTATGTCCAATTTAGCGAATATTTTTCCGGGGCCTAAAGAATGTAGTAGATGCAGTACAATGGGTACAGGGTAAGAGCTTTGTTGCAACGCTTTATTGATTGTTCACTTGTAGTCCACGTAGATGCGGACAGACCCATCAGATTTGACAGGTGTCACTAAAGGGATCTCCCATTGTGCGTGATCAACTGGTTCTAGGATTCCCTGGCCTATGAGCTTGTCAATTTTCAGATCAATTTTGGGGCGGAGAGCAAAAGGTACTCTCCTGGGTTTTAACCTTATGGGGGCTATATTGGGGTCCAAATTAAAGGAGATTGGAGTCCCCACATACTTACCCAGACTGATGCCAAAGACGTCGTCGAACTCCTTAAAAATGGCTTCAGTGCTTTCGTCTTTCAAGGTGTTGATACCTGTCATTTCTAGGCCCAGGGCTTCGAACCAGGCAAGCCCCAGGAGGCTCTGCAGATCACTGCTGACCACTGTCACTGGGAGTTTGCTGCTGAAGCATTTGAATTTCACCTGGAAGATGCCTTGGCCCACAATGGGGACCCAGTTCCCCTGGTAATCGCGAAGGCGGATGTCAGGGGTGCGTAGATGTTGTTTCTTCAGGCTAGGTATAGCCTGCTTGAGTGTAGACCATGACATGATGGTCAGTGATGACCCAGTGTTGATCTCCATCTCGCATGGAGAGTCCTCGATGAGGACTGTGATCTTCAGCTTTTTTGGCCGCCTGGTGCAGACTTGGCCAATTGATGTATGGTAGGTGACTCTATTGTTGCCCTCTGAGCGCCGTAGTGGCTTTTACCAAGCCCCTTAGGTGGGCCTCTGTTGGCGGTTAGCTCAGCTTCTTGGCTGCCAGGTTGTCGTAGGGTGCTTGCTTCTGCACACCTTGGTGATGTGCCCCTTACACTCACATCGCTGGCAGGTAACATCATGGAAACAGCAAGCCGATTGGGCATGGTCTCCTCCACAGCTAGCGCAAGACGGGAATCATTGTTCAAATTTGTGTGCCGGCTTGGCACGGCCACTGTACATGCGGCAGCTGTCATCTTCTTCACCTTCAGAGCTCTCAGCCTCTGCAACCTTGTGATGTACATGTGTGTTTTTCTGCGTGTCTTGTGGAGTGCTTTGACACTGCAGTGTCTTTGTGGACTTGACGGACAATTCTGATGCCCTGGCCTCATCCAAGGCAATTTGTAGAGTGAGGTTAGACTTGGCAA